TGGATGCTTCCAGAACGATGCTGGCAGCACGATGGCAGCGTGAGGGCTGTCCTCTACGAGGAGATTCCTCGTAGAGGAGCGGCTCGGCACCTTTGGAAGGGGCACTCTGGCTGGGGGGGGTAGTCGGGCTTGAGCTTCATTTGGTGCTCAAGGAGGTTGAGATCTCAACTAGACCTTTGCTCTCGGCAGGCTTACCGTAAGCATACGCAGCAAAGTCCCCGCAGGCACGTCCTCACCTCGCCCTCACGTGCAGGTGAATAACTACGGGCAAATTAACTCGCCCGGTGATGACATCCGTGTAGCCATGGCGAAGAATACGCGCAAGGCGGAAAGATCTACCGCCGCCTCCGGTGCGAGCTGTGACGGGGACGACGGCGACGAAGAACACGGCGACGACGGCGACGAAGAACATGGCGACGACGGCGAGGAGGATTGGCCGGAGAACGGCCACGCCGACAGCGCTTCGTGCACATGTGTACATATATGTGGAATAAAGATATGTATTGACGCACCTCACGCTCGTACACTGATGTTTGAAACACAATGTTGGAACCCTCAATATTAAATACTTGCAAAAATAATCGACTTTGGGGAAGGTTGTCACATAGAAGATGGTAACCAGATCACATATTTGGAAAGCCATCACACGTTCTGCAGAACTGAGTTGGTTCGAATGTGAAAAATGTGCATTGGTAGACAACAATCTGAAAGTTCTAGTACATTAAGTGAAAGTTTATGTGACAAGTATAGAATGAATTGAATACTTTGTGTAGGAATACACACGATGCTCAACATTATCTAGTGCATTTGCAATGCAATCCTTATCTGGTGCATTTGCGTGAATACGTGGGCCTCCGGCAACCGATCTAATAAGAAAAATAGGTAGGGGAAAATGCAAAAGAACTACAGCTTCTGAACCGCATCAGACTAGTGGAAGGTAGTGGTTGAAAGTGTACAAAGAGCTTCGGTGCAATATGGAACAATTCGCACGAGGTGTTTCAACAACCATAGAAGACGTACATGAGGTTTGGTGCACATATAAGCTTTTCATGCACAGTTTCGTCAATTTATATTTTATGCACTCGCAACGCCGGTATACGTTTCATATTCCAAAAAAAAACATGTGCATTTGCCTAACACGTTTATAACAATTTCCTTCATGAATTTGATAACCATGAATGACACATCGTAGTCGCGCGAACTGCGTACATGAAACAAATGGCATATTCAATTACGCAGACACATATAGGATGTATTTCACAAATTTCTACAATTGCTGCCGTTCAGATAAGCGTTTTCTGCTTCTAGATAGTCCAAATTTGTAAGTAACATGTTCATTTACAGTCCTATTTTGCCTCCCCTGGCAGGCAGGCGAAAACGATCCTGCTCACTATAGTCTGTTTGCACATTAAAACAAATGTGTGACAGTAGCGGGCTTCGCGTGTTCGTCACCTGCACGGAAAATCAGGGTGGCATTCTAACATTCTAAAAAATCAAGAATTGACCAATCGGAACAATGGGGTGATGCCGCTTCCCCAATCGAGGACATTCGTGGGATGCAATTTCTGGCGCTGCTTCTTTCCCTATGCCAGTTGTGATTACAGCTGGTGAGGCGAGGGCTCTCGATAGGTTTTGGGCAACACTGCCATGTGGCAGGGTTACGCTCGAAACCCTGTTTTGCCCTCCACCCGTAAAACTGGGCACGGTGGGGGCTAAAATCAACCCACTCCCGGCAGGGTAGCGCCAAAATTCACTCTGAAAAGCAGGCTAAACAGGGTAACGCACTGCATTCCTGAGCCCTAGTGTCGACATACCCCTTCAAGCGACTACGGGCTTTTCGTTTTGAGCCACTCAAACTCAAATAAGTGAGGGTCTCTGGAGTAAGGGGAGGGGTTGTTTTGGGGCGGTGAAAAGTTGCAGGGTTAGGTTGAAAACTGCTTTCCTGTCTACAGGCATATCTGGAAGCCATTTTTTAGTGGACAAAGCACGTGTTTAGCTCTTGGCGGGAGAGCTAGCGACAAAAACAGTCAGAGCGCCAACGGGACAGATGTGAATAAACAAAGGCTGAACAGGTGCTGGGGTAGACCTGTCGCCATAAGGGCATTTCCTCTTGTACTCGTAACATTAAGGGTTTATAATTAATCTCCCAACCCACGTGTTGCCCGCAAGATCTGCATATCATCCGTTAGATACACCCACGTGGGCCACCATAACCGCTAGAATCTAAAATTCGTTCTTGAGGTAGTCGGAGCATTCCTGAACCTCACCTTCATCCCCTTCCTCCTCCCCCCTGGCCCTCCTTTCCCGTCCCGTCACGACGACCGCGCGCGAGGAGGGGAGGAGAGGAGAGTTCACTTCACGCGTGCACACGTGATTCAGGTGAAACTGGCTGGATGCGCTCTGATCTGTCGGCCTCGTCAAGGACAAACACGTCGGTGGATTTGGCGGCATCCTACGAACGACCACACGAAAATCATCATCAAGTTGTTTCTGTGGCAGTCAGCCTTCTCAGTCTCAATCACCAACGCGACAATCGCGGCGACACAGAGAGGCAGGCGGAAAATGAAGGAAAGGGGCTCTTTTACATGGGGGAGGGCAGGCGGGAGGCGGAGGTAGGGGGAGGGAGGGGGAGGGGGAAGGGCGATGGGTGATTTCACGCGCCTCCCGCCAAGGAATTATGCATGCACCGCATATCATCCGTCGATCATCACGTGGAGCTTTCGAATCTCAGAATTCAATCACCAGCGTATGTCTCCAAGGACCGCCTCCCATCCGCAAGATTTCGCACCATAGGCCCAAAATCTAGAAATCGTCGCCGCCGATCTCTCGACCCGAGACCACCTCCGCAGCTCCCACCCAATCCACCCCAGCCAAGCGCACCCTCCACCCCCACACCTTCCTCCACCCCACTGAGTGAGGTCTCCTCCCCCTTTCCCCCCCGGTGGGCCCTTTCCCGTCACGGCCCCTACTCCCCACTGATCGCGGTCGCGGGGATGAGGCGCGCTGTTGTGAGTCGGCCCCGCCTGGCGGACAGGGAGGCTGGCAGCACCCTTCGAGCTCAGTCGAACTGTAAGAACTGTAATAAGAGCTCCAGTCATCAAGTGTTAACTGTCAACTGTGCGCTGCTTAGAGAGTCCAGTGGAGCTGATTACTCTTCTCAAAAAGCCTTTGATAAGCCTCAGGGTGAGCTGTCCGATTTTTCCGCGATTGCGGCAGGTTTCGACCAAGTCAGGCTAAAGAAGATTCCGAAGATTTCGGGATTGGCGCACCTGTGAAAAACGGCACAAGAAACCCACAGCGACCGCCATGACTCCGTCACCGTCACCGTCATCGTCAACAGCATCTTCGCCGTCATCAGTGCCTCCCAGCGGTCCGCAGCTTGCCGCGCCGCTCAGGTCGCCGCCGCATGATTATCAGGCGGCGCTGGCGCCGCATGCGACGCATGATGCGCCCATGGTCTGCGACTCCGCCGCGTGGGAGCCCGACGAGTCGGATCTCGACATCGTCATGTCCATTGACTCGCTTGACCCGCTTCACCCGCTTGACCCCCTTGACCCGCTTGACCCCCGACTCTAATCACACGTCCCCCAGGTCGGTTGTCATTCACTCGCTAGTTGGCCCGGCGGTTGACCCTGTTGACCCGGTCAATGTGGTTGGCTCTGTTGGCGCCAGCCGGCGGACTCGAAGGCCTATCATGACGCAGCCTTACTTTTTTGGCAGAACAACTCCGTCAGTGCGTGACGTGCACGGCTGCAGCACCGCTGACAAACTTACTAGTACCTGCGCTACACGCCTGTTTGCGGCGGAAAGAAGTCCATACGGCTGGTGCATGTCAATGCCGCTGAGGGGAGGGACGAGCGGAGCAATGAACGGAGCGGTGAAGGCTGCAGCAGGTGTTTTCGAGAGTTCTCAAAGGATGCTGCATGCATACCTGCCGGCCGCGGGTGTTTCTGAGGAATCACTAAGCTTGGTGCGTGCATACATGTTCCCTGCATCGGCAAACTCACGGGTCTGGTTTCCAAGTGCCGCTCCAAACCCAAAACGCGCGTTTGTGTCGACAGCGGTTCCATCGCGCATCTACCACCACTACCCATCACTGTTGGAGCGGGCCTATGGCGAATTGCGCGAAACGGGGTACAATGACGTGAGGTCCGAACTGGACTTCTCGCTGCGGGCGACTTTCGGAGCCATTAGTGGCGGGGCCCCAAAAGCACACTTGCTGATAACGACGGCGAACGGCACGAACACGGTGGCCGACGCAGTCGGGACGGAAACGACGAGCAGCACAGCTGACGCAAACCCTAATACTACCAGCGCCGCTAAGCCTTGTACTACGCATGGTGACGACCAGCAGCGGATCCTCGCCCTGCGGATCGGTAGGGAGGAGTATCGGCCCGAAATAACTCAGCGCGCACCGCAGCTAGCGGAAGTGCAGGAGGAGGGCGCACATGACGGGTGCTCGAATCGCGAGGAAAGGATCGACGGTGGTGGCAATTTGACGGCGATTGGAGGAGAATGCGTGAGAGAGGGTAGGAGGAAAAAGAAAAGGGTGAATGAAGCAGAGGTTGAGGGTTCGGGTTTTGACGAGACAAGGAGGAAGAGGCGGGGCGAGTAGGACTACACCGGAGCTACATTGAGGATAAATCGATTCTGTTCTTAACATACAGTTTATATTCCTTAGCATGTGTAGGCTAATGAATCAGTGTTATTTCGTGTGGGGTAAACACCAGCTGCAGGTTCTAAAGTTGTAAATTACACACTACTGCCACAAGGCCTTCTTCTAGCGCATTCTTGGGCAAACCAGTCACAAATGATAATATCACTGAACAATGAACAAATAATTCCACCTATGGTAGTACCAGGGCATCATGGTCAAATCATGAAGTGAGTCGTTCTAATAACATTTCAAGCAGGGATGAGTCATCATTTCTCAACCACTTGCACTCCCTTCCCTGCCTCAAACTCTGACTTCGTCGCGCCTCTCCGGCAGCATTGGCAGCCTATGCTAATGAAGCAGCAGGCAACATCGCCCCAGCAGCACGGGAATGCTGACCTGGAACGACCCACATCTCGCCAGCCGGCTGGCTCTGACCATGCCACGTCATCCAGTCTCGGGGCCCAGCAGAAGAGACTGGAGCAAAGTGAGCATGTTGGGGAGGCGTGGAATAAGGATGGAGCGAGGACTGATGGGAGGGGTTCTGGTGCTGAGTGTAGGAGCAGGCATCTGGAGCAGAGCAGCAGGGTAGGAAGCAGGCAGTGTAAGGAAACATGGCAGAGTAATGGGGGGCGTGTGGGGACTGCCGAAATGGAGGATGGGTCGCTGACGGCTGCAACAAGCGAGGAAAGGAGGGAGGCACGGCAGGGAATGCTGCTCGAGATGATGGTGAGCGCCTGGTGTGAGGGGGGTGAGGGAGAGCAGCAGGCGGCGGCGGCGGAGGAGGAGGAGGAGGAGCGAGGGGAGGGGGGTGCGACGAGCTGGTTGCATGAGCATGGGGCGTGGATGAGGTTTGTGGAATAGACGTGGGGGTAGCAGAGGAGCAGAAGGAGGCAGTGAGGGAGGTGGCGGAGTGAGAGTGCACGTCCAGAGTCGAGGCTGCATGAGAGTGGGATGGCGCGTGAGAGGCTGAGGCTGCTGGGTGGGTGGAGTGCGAGGAGGAAGGGGACGATGCGGGGAAGGCGTGGGTAGAGGCTGGAGTGGGTGGCGCCATGAATAGCAGCTTGGCAATCACGCGGTCGACGGTGTTGGAGTCAGGAACGGGGCTGTTGGAATGGACTTCGGAAGTGACTTGCTGCTGTTGCCCGGGTTCTTGTTTCCCCTGCTGCTGCTGCGCGTGTGGTTGATGCTGCTGCTGCTGCTGCTTCTCACTCGCAGTGACAGGGGTGACAGAGGAGGCAGCATCTTCAGTGGCAGTGGGATTCAAATCCTCCTGGCTTGTTTGAGTGGTGCGGCTTGGTGTATTGGTGAATGCGTGGTCGGCAGCTTCGCCAGCAGAAGGCGCAGCAGAGACACAGGTTGATTTTGCCGCAGCCGCCGCAGAAGCAGCAGCAACAGCGTCAGAAGCGTTACCTCCAGCAGCAGAACGATCACGCACAGAAGCAGCAGGAGAAGCAGCAACAGCGGTGGTGGCGGTGGCGGCGGATTGCGGCATGGCACGGTTTTGAGCGCTGGTGGCAAGGCGGAGGAGGGCACTGCGAATGCAGTCACGGGTGGCGGTGTCGAGCTGGGAGGAACGAGCAGCACAGGGGGAAGAAGATGCACAAAGGAATCCGTTAGAGGAGAAGCGCAACAACTTAAACCCCATGGACTGAGATTACGAAGGAGGAGAAGAAGAAAAGACAGCAAGCAAGGTATGGAGCAAAGCTACCGTTGACGAAAACGAACGAGCAGCAGTGTGAGATACTGAAGAGAGGCAAGCAGAGAAAGAGGCGGGCACCAGGCAAGCAAGGAAGGAGAAGCTGGGAGGGAGCCCTCACCTGAGCAATGGTAGAGTAGAGCTGGCCCAAGGTGGCAGACTCAACGTCCGTGGCTGCATCCCTGCCGTCCATTGAAACAGCCCGTTCCACCACTGGCCCTGCTCCTCCCGATGGCGATCTTGCTGACGCTCTTGCTGCTGGGTCGCCACAAGCAGTTGCACATTGCATTGAGGGCTCCTTCGCCTGAGACCTATCCTGCTGTTCCGCCTTCACTGCTGCTTCTTCCATGGTCGCATCCTCCGCCTTTGCTTCTCCCTCAGGCGCTGACATCACTATCTCATCCGCCGTCTTGAGACGTTTCCTTCGCCCCTGTCCAACGGCGTCCATTCCACCTGCCTCCGCCTCCTGCTGTGCCACACGGGTCTTCTTACCCTCGTTACAGTCACGTCCTATTTGGTTTCCAGTCGACTCCGTTGCTGTACCTGTAGCTGCAGGTGGGGAAGGAGGGAGTGAGGCGCCGGCCTGGACAGGACGTGCAGATTCACCCGGGTTTGAGGTTTGGAGTGCGGTGGTGGCGGCAGGTGCAGACGGCGCCGCTGAATCACCTGTTGCACTGGCAACAGCGGCAGCAACAGCGGCAGCAACAGCGGCAGCAACAGCGGCAGCTGGCTGCGTGCCACCTGATGCACTGCCAACAGCGCCAGTAGACGTGCAAGGGTGGCTGTCGCCGCTGCGGGTCGTGCCATCTCCGCATGCTTCTTCCTTCACGCGTACAGCAGGTTGTGGTTCTGTCCCGTTCGTTCTTTGCAGATTCAATGGGTGCTCCTGCCGCTCTACTTTCGGCCCCTCGTGCTGCTTCTCCCGCTGCTGCTTATCCTCCTGTTGCTGCTGCTGCTTCTGTTGCTGCACGCGCATCAGCTGCTGCTGCCGGTGAAACAGATACATCTGTCGACCCAGCAGTTGCTGCTCCTGCTGCGAGCTAGTCCCCTGCTGGGCCTGACGCACCCACATCTGCTTACTCATCCACCCACCAGCGTGCTGTGCACCTTTCACGCTTCCAACTGTGCCTGCGAATCCTTGCGCTCCTCGCATGGGAGGCAATGCCACCGCTGCCGCCGCCGCCGCAGCAGTAGCAGCAGAAGCAGGAGCACAAGCAGACGCAGGAGTATAAGATGTAGGTGCCGGTGCAGCAGATGCAGTCGGAGCTGATGCTGCTGATGCAGCCGCGTGCAGCCTAGACTGGTAGAAGATTGCAGGAGGGTATGGGTGACCCATGCTGCTTCCCGTAAAGAACGCGGGTGCTGGCATCATGGTGCCTCCAGGGAATGGCATGAGAGCGCGAGCAGGCATGTGAGGAGGCATGCGAGCAGGCACTGTGCCAACGACAGCATTTGCTGAAGATGCTTCTAAGGATGCGCTGACAGCTGCGTTGACGGGTGCGTTCAGTGCAGCAGATGCAGGGATCCGAGTTGGCGTTGATACCTTCGCTGCAGCATTCGCTGCTCCAGGCACGGCAGTGGCTGATGCGCCAGCAACACCAGCGCCCGCTGCCTCGCCAGCAGCGCTTAACGCAGTAGCACCAGTGGCGCCAGCAGCGGCAGCACTGCCAGCAGAGGCCGCGGTGGCAGCAGTGCCAGCAGAGGCAGCAGAGGCAGCGCCACCAGCAGTGCCAGCAGAGGCAGCGCCACCAGCAGTGCCAGCTAAGAAGCTCGCGGGCATGGGGGGGAGGGGAAGCGCGGCTGCGGGATAGGCCTGGTGGTAGTTGGGGAAGAAGGGCAGGCGCGGATAGGGCGGCAGCCCGCGCTGCGCGGATGGCGCTGGCGCGGGCGCGGGCGCGGGGAAAGGAGTGTGGCCGGGCGGGAATGGGAGGCCCGGTTGGGAAGGGTATGGCATGGAGCGATGGGTGGGAGGGGCGGGAGGGAAGGCGCAGGGATGGGAAGGCGAGGGGGACGAGGTGGCGGCGGGAGCAGCGGCGGGGGAGAAGGCGGGGGAGGAGGGGACTCGGCGGAACGGTGATGGCCGAATGCTTCGAGCGGGAATACTAGTGGACTGAGGAGGAGTTGGGGTGGCCTGGGCAGAAGTGGGGGTGGAGCGGGGAGGAGTTCGCGTAGACCTGGGAGGAGTGGCAGTAATGATGATCTTGGTAGTACGCGTGGCAGTGGTGGCGGTAGTGGTGGCAGCGGCAGTGGTGGAGGAGGTGGTGCCAGTGGTGGCGGTGGTGGCGGTGGCAGCACCGGGGGTAGCAGTGCGAGTGCAGGAGGACGATGCAGGGCTACCCTGTCGCTGCTGCTGTTGCTGCTGCTCCTCCTCCTCCTGTTGCTTCTGTTGTTGTTGCTGGTGCTGCTGCTGCTGCTGTAGCCGCTGCATCTGCATCTGCTGGATCTCCACTTTCGACCGTGTCACAGCATCCCGCGTGGCCTGGTCAATACACAGAATTACCCATCAGCTACATTTAAAAAAAGGGTTACGCGTCAACGTGCCTCACGTAACGCGAACGGGTACAAAAGCGCACAACGTCGCAACCCTCATCAAACTCACCTGCAGAAGCGACAGGCGTTGCGGAATGCTGCCGCGCGGAGGCGACGGCGACCGAAGCACGGCAGAATCGCAAAGCCCTCCCGCGGTCGCACAATAAGTGTCAGCACCGGCGACTGACGACTCCAAGACGTCGAGCTTCTCAACCGCGCCGCGAGCCCTCTCCGTGCCACCTCCCTTCGCCGCCTCCGCAACAGCCGCAGCTGGAACCGTCGCGAATTTCGCGAAATTCGCGTTCTCGCCGTCGCAGTCGCCTCGTCGCTCCTCAAATTCGCCTTCCCCGCGGCGACGCTCGTCTCCGAATTCCGCAGCTGGCCCTTCCCAGAGCAGCTTTCCCACGTCCGCCGTACCGGCCGAAGACGCGGATGCGTGAATGTGGGATAGGATTCCCGCAATGGAGGACTGTGCGAGATTCTGGCCTGTCGCAGAGCCGGATTGGGAGTGCTTCGCGCTCTGGTACGAGGATCTGACGCGGCGCGACAAGAACATGTCAAACAACGGAGGAGGAGAGATATGAGCGAGATGCCTTACTTCGTCTTTTGAAAAAAGGTGAATCTGGAGAAGAAAGAGCAGGATGCGATGCAATGCTGGCAGAAATGAGAAGCGGTGAGTCGAACAAGCCGCCTCGCACCTCAGGATCGCCTCGAGATTGCCGGTGTGATCGCACGCATCCCACGACGCGCCAAGAACGTCGTCTCCCTCCAAAAGGTCGCCATCCATGTCGCCATCCATGTCGCACGGGCCAGCCAAATGGTCGCCGTCAGGCACGGCGTTTCCGCCAATTACGTCGTTCAACTCCATGAGCGTGAAAGTATCACCCGTGCATTGCGGATTCCCCGCGAGAGTGCATTCCTCCATCATCTCTTGACCGAGATGGTCGTGAGATTGAGCAACACCGGAGGCTCTAGAGGCAGACGCGTCGTTCGGGGTACCGGGAAGAAAAACTTCAGATTTTCCACTTTCGGTCGGCGACATGCTGAATGTGGGGTTCTGCGAATGCGGAAAAATATTTTCGCTTAATGGTCTAGGCGTTTTCTGCTCGTGTCTGTCAGACTCCGAGTGCGTTGCCTGAGCAGGCGTCCCGTGTGCAGCATCGTGCGGAGCGACCGGCTCCTCAGCACCGAATGCCTCCCACACTCGGTCATCGAACTGCGATACAAGATGTTTAGAAACAGGAAGGGAGAAAAGAAGGATGTTGTCACGAGCGTACCGAACGTGAGACAGCGAATTCTTCAATCAATTTGGGTTTACAGTTGATAGGAGGCAGCAGAACAAGGAAAGAATGAATGTGGCTACGTTCCGGTCCTCGCAAGTGCTACGTATGGTCGAATTTCATGTACGAACACATGCTGCTCGAAAGACCGCAAGTAAGATGCACAGGACGGTAATCTGAGGATTATGCGAAGGACATGATTCGAGTACAATTAGAAATTGTTCTCACCAAAGGAATTCCATGAATTGTTACGTCTCCTTCATCTGACGGCCAAATTGGCGTGGCCATAATTTTCTTCGAAGTTCCGTCAGAGCAAAACTCGAGAACAAATGTGCTCGGATCGAATTAGAACCGGGTTCTCTGCGGAATCAAATCAGCTACAATGTCAGTGTAAAAACGGCAACGACAGTCAAGAATTGCTGTGGACCAGTGTCAAGGAAAGCTAGCAAGTGAATGCAATTTCGCTTGAGCTCTTGAGACACAGCCTCGGAGGAGCTCTTCAACAAATTGATGTTTGAGCTTGAGCGCTTCTTTACGACTGTCAAAAGGTCCTCCATGAAGCATGGTTGTGGAAAGCTGGCGACAGATTCGCTCGTAAGCACCGCATGCGAAGCATTGCGAACAAAGAAACCCTGAGCACAAAAACAGTCGCGAAACCCTTGCGATGGACTCATGACGAGCGAGACCCTTCATGGCAAAATGATGGCACGGACTGGAGAAGCCGTGACAAGCAAAGTATACGCTGTTAGTTGCCCATAATTGAAAAACTTTACAGGCTTCACTATAATTCCTACCCTGGTCGTGATAATCCTGCGACGGTCCCAGATTAACAACATGTCTGGCCAGGACTAGGAAGCTCTTACATAAACCCTTCTCAACTTCTCTCGTTTTTAACCCAAATTCAGTCCGTGAACACACACCGACTGATTGGGTTTTGAGACAAGCCATACACTTCGGGTAACTCCAATCTGATGGAATTACATGCCCAGTACACCCTCAATCCTTGTTGTGATTGCTTGGCTGTGCTTCGTGTAAACAGTACAATCAAATATGTTTCCCGTTGGTAAGCGTCAGTTGGTTTGACCGCTCGGTACTGTACCAAAATCTGCCTCTTCTGTAAACAATCTTCCAACAAGATCGGAAGAAAACGAGCTCTTCCAACATTGACCACACAGCCGTCAGAAAACTTCTCAAGGGATGTCTACAGTCTACACGAAAAATCCTTCCCTCTCATACCATGAACTGTAGGACTGTACATACTCCCAGCGGGAGTCTTGCAATTGATCATTGCACGTTTTATCTGGTTAGTGACGCTTTCTTCACGTGACCCTGCACGTTTCAATGATTGTAAAGGGTTTTGTTGGGTTGCCCGTTAGCTGTGCGTGAAAGGTTTGGAAAAGAATCTCGCAGGCTTCGTGTGGGGGAAGCGAAGAATACAGTAGAAGCGACGAAACAAAATGCCAGTTGCACTTTTGTAATGCCTGGGCCGCAATCTCGGTAAGGTTTTCGTCGAATCATGAGGTCGGACGAACGTGCTCAGCTGAAGGGCAGGATTATGAGCTGAGATGCCAGCGAGGCAGAGCTGCTCACGTGCCTGTTGCCACCATCACGGCCAGCTGGAACCAAGGACAGCGAACACAGACCACAAACGAGAACTAGAGGCAGAATTTCCCCATATGAGACCGATCGATGGCCCCGCCCACACAGCCCTTTCCTTCCCTCCCCTTCCTTTTTCACAACCACCCCTCTGAGTCCGCCCGCGTTCTTCTCCTTTCGCCACTCACCTTCGCCACAAGCATTTCAGAAGAACCAAGGCCGACCAATGGTTTGGGTTTAGTTTGGGGCATTCCCAACCCAACAAACCAAGCTGGTTGGCTCTCCAAGACTAGGTTCGGAAAAAAGTCGTGGAACAATGCCCTGCACCGTAATATAACTTTCTGAAACACAATAGTACGCAAATATACCGTGTCCAACCTCTTCAAAGTCGACTTTTTGAAATCCCTGTGTTTTCAAAACCTGGTATTGTTCTGCTGGAGCAGTAGAGTATGGGCTACGCCAGTATCCGTGATGCACTTCGAAATGCCTGAGCCAAGCCTCTTCCTCCCTCCTAGTGCATAGCTTCTTCCGAACCCCCACAGACCCCCCCCACAGATGTCCGTCCATCATGCAGTCATCGAGGAGCACGACGTCCAAGGAGTACAGCAGTATGACTCTCTTCTCTTGTTTGAAGCCACGCCGTCCTCCGTGCATCCGTGTCCAGTTGCTCTGCTTCTGACCATTCTGCTCGGTTCGTGAATCACGCGAAAAGGCCAGTCCTGATTTTCTGTGCTCTTCGAAGCAGCAGCATTGAGAAAGCACACTGTACAGTAGGTCTTCAAGTTCAGGGCAGACAGATCCAGGAAATTGCTTTTGATATTCCGGCTGCAAGACGGCTGGCACGAAAACCATCACTGTTTTACACTCACGTCCGTTTTGTAGCATATGATGGACCAAACATGATCTCCCAAATCCCTCGCTAAGCGCGCCGGAAGGAGAAATCACGAACGATGTAAAATGTCCTAGAAATCTGGGAACTGATTGCTCGGGGGGTGGTGCAGCTGCAACCTTGCACGAGACCTGGAAGGAGACCTTCTGTTCCAAAAACTACGCATACGCCGATGGTCACGAGTGTATTGTAGTGCTCGACTCTTCCACCATCTCTTGAAGCTCTATCAGAAACGCTTTGGCACGATAGGCTTTGGCACGATAGGCTTCGGTACGATATGCTTGAAAACTCCTCCACCACATTCTCATCGTCCTCGTCGTCTCACATCTGAAACTTTTTCCTTGATTCGGGGTGGTTTCTACCTCGAGACGTCCTCAGATATTTTCGCCGGTACACTTGTTCAGACCTTCGGCTTCGCCAGTAACCTCTTCGTTTGGCTGTTTCGCCATTCCACTTATGAAGAATAGCTATTTCACTTGAAGTTTCGGGTTGACAGGACTGCCGAAATGTTTCGCACCGCCGTATCCTCTGCGTGGAAAGCCGTTTTTCGCCTTATACGTACGGAAATAGTCCTACTCAGATTCGCGTGTTTCATATATCGCATAAGGTAGAACGAGGAGGGGGACATTCCACGCGGCACGTGTCACGAGGAAATGTAGCGGCTATGAGCACTGGACAGAACGTCGGCGATGGGAGAACCTGTCCAAGGTATGCCGGTCTCGATTCAATAGAAAAGTACCAGTGCGAGCGCGGACGCTGCTTCAGTCGGTGTCGAGTTCGCCTTGAGAAAGTAGGCAGGTAACGTATAAGAGCCATTACGTGGACGACTACCACATTATGCCGAATTACGAGGTCCGCGGGTCGCTGATCTATGGAGATCACACTGCATTTCGTGACGTGACATCACTGCGGAAGGAACAAAAGCAAGGGCAAGGCGGCAACTCGGCATGTACGGTAGTCCTCACGCAATTCTTCTCTCACGTCTGAGGCTTGTTGGAATGAATGAAACACTAAGATAATTTCACAAGAAAAAAAGGAGCAGCAGCCACAGAAGACTAAAACACCCGCCATAAGAACAACCCCAAGTATAAGCCCAAAACCTTTTCCCAGGTCCAAGACAGGGCTTCTTTTCAAAGCAAATGTACGATTGTCTCCTGCTGATCCTGTGGCACTTGAATTTGTTCACATTAGTAAAAGTGGCCATTGACACCAGCTGTGAAGGTTTCGGGTTTGTAGCTAGGCTTTAGTTTTTTTCTGTCACAAGCTTTTAGGTCAGCTTATGTCACCCCCTGGTCTGGTGCCCTTGTACACTTGTTGCGGTATGTCCCCTGAGCAGCGGTCATTTGTTGATTGAGTAGATGAATGAGAAAGATACCACTCCTAAACTAATGAAGTCTGAGACACATTCCGCTCACTGAAATTCTGAGGCAGCAGATCCTTGCGGGTTATGATGCCCAGAACGTGAGTCGGCTTGGGAACCACACAAAGATGACGAAGGCCCAACTGTCTGAAGAGCATGTATGCCTTGTTGAGAGACATGCTCTCAGGCACAATGTATGGAGATCTGTTGGCTAGAGGATGCAAGTCTAGGAACATTCCTTGTTCCTCTTCACTCAGTTGAATGTCCTCCAGCTTCAGCCCCTTCCCTGATCCTGGCTTACCAAAATCCTCTGCTGCAAGGTGCTTCTGGGCAGTTTCAGACACTTGATGCGGATGGAGCAGAAAGCTCTGCTTTGACCGTAGGAGCACCAAGAGATGACCTCTCAAGACAAGTCCGTAGAAGGATGTTGAGCCATCTTCGTGGGTGTCAATGACTGGAAAAGAGTTGTGGTTTGTAGTACGAAGTGTATCGTATATCCGCTCCACACTCTCCACGCCTGAAAACTTCACCGGCTCCGACACTAGAATGTCCTTGGCAGTATAATGACGCATGGCCTCCTCTGGATGAGCCTCCAGGTACGGGACCCCCTTCAGCTGGTTGTGCGCATCATAGATCCCGCTGTTGAACATGTCGCCGACCGTCTTTGAGACCAGCAGCACAATCATGATGAGTGGGAGAAGCTTTAGGCTTCCAGTCAGCTCCAGGAGAATCACACATAGAGAGACAGTTGTCCTCATGGACCCTCCCAGGAAAGACGCTGTGCCAATGAGTGCATACGTCCCCTCATCCAGGTTGTCTGCTGGTGCATAGTTGGACATGATTCTTCCAACCACTCGGCCGTAAGTTGCACCACAGACAATTGCAGGCACAAAAAGGCCCGATGGCACAGTGATGCCATATGTGAGGATGGACAAGAAGTAGAAGCAGAAGAAATAAATGCCAAGTGAGGTGAACCTGCAGGACAAGGCACCAAACGGTGAGAAACCCAGATTACAGAAATGTAGGGTGAAGAGCAACCCAAGTGCGAGGTGCGGAGTGGAGATTTGTAGTGAGGTAGTTGATTGCTCACGAAAATGCATGATGGGTTCCGCTGCTGAGAAGGCTTCGAATGGAATCATCGTTGGGTGTAAACAGCAGGCCAGCCATGTCGTTGTAGTGGCCCGGCGGGCAAGTGAAGCTCTTGTAATACCCCATCTCTGTCTTGCTGGGGCATTCAATCCCATCCGGGCATTGCTGACACTTGACCAGGAACGGCACGGAGAATCTAACTGCGGATGTCAACGCTGCCACTGCACATGCCTCCACAATTTTCCATACTCCACGCCTGAAACAAAGAAGAATTTTGAAGTTGAATGCAGCAGCGAGACTACAAAATCAACAATCAAGGCCAGAGTGAGAGGGAACAGATGATATTGCAACCCATTTACCTGCTTCCTTGCTGTCTCAACTTGCATAGCGAGAGGTTAAGCTGGTTAAAAATGCTCCCCGCAATTCCTCCAATGATTCCCAACCCAATGACTGGAAACATTTCCACCACACCAAACTCCGTTTTCGCCTCTGTATGATCAAATATGATAAACCCTCCGCCATTGTAAAGCCCACAGTGTCCATTGGCACAATAGGTCATGAGAGCACGGACGACCATGGCCACAACGGCATTTGTGAAAAAGACTCGCCAGAGAAGGGCACTTCGCCACCTGCACAGCAAAGCAACAACGAAGGCTCCAATGAGGCTTTTCTTCAGTAAATCAAGACAGTGACCAAAAGCAACTTCACTGACCAAGAGGTTGCTTCTTCCAGGGCAAAGAGCACACCACCCACAGGAGCTCTAAAGGCACCAGCAACACCTGCTGCAGCACCACATGTCACTAGATCCCTCCGGTCCCTGTCATTCTTGAAGTACCGCAACCATTTCCACGTGAGATGGTACTTCCGGGAGCCACCTTGACCAAGAACGTTTGCAATACACGCCCCTGTGTGAACAAGCGGACCTTCCTTTCCCACTGCAAGACCACCAGCGATAGAGCCTATACTTCCGAAGATCTGCGAGGAGCAAGACAAATCCAGGCATTAAAAGCCACTCTCTTATTACAACGATTAGAGATAAAAAAAGAATTCAGTACCTTGACAAACAGTGTCTTGGCTGCAAATATTCTTGGTGCGTCTACTCCGTTGAGATACGCTTTGACGTCCGGGATACCAGAACCGGCAGCTTCCATCGAAATTACATTACAGAGGACCGAGGAGAAGAGGACGAGAGAGACGTCGGAGCACACTAGGATTAGAAAGCCTGCAAACAAACTGAAGACGGGGATGAGAGTAAGGCCGTAGCGGTAGTAGCATCAGAGTCCATGAAGGACTAACGTAGTCATTGACAGCACAATCGAGGCTCACCTTTCGGTCTTCATGTATTTACGGACCATCTGGTACTTGAAGCCTGCGATGTTCTCGACACCCATGTTTATGAAAAAAGCGACAGCTCCCGTTGCAGCGCCAACAAGCAGGACGAAGAGCCATTTGAGCAATGTGTACTGGAGGTGCTCTACTCGCGTTCTTGAGCGCCAGTCCTCGTCGTGAATCGCAGACTCAAGGACCCTGAAAAGAACGGAAAGCGATAACTACGTCAAGTCATATCCATGGAATCGTCTCTAAATGAAGCGAAGTGCAAAACGTCCCACTCACTCATAATCTAAGCTTTCATGTTGAATCGGTTTGGAAAGGCATCGTGCTAAAGCTTCCTTCGGGCCCGGGTCGTCATTGGAATCAAGACCAGGAAGGACTACCGAACCATATTGAGACGAAGAAACGGCCTGGTCATCCAAGAGGGGACGCACTTCGCCATTGCAAACTGCTTCACCTACTTCCTTCGACCTTTTCGCCATCTGACATGCAGCTAGCAATCAACGACCACCTAGCAGCGAATGAAGTTCTCGTACCAAGGGACAGCCAATTTTCTCAATGAACATCAGCACCGACACATGCACGGTCTCCAGAGCTCCATGGAAACGAAGGATTTACAAAATGCACTGCACTTGGCCAGTTTGAATTGATGTGGCTGCAATGCAAGCACCAGCAGGAGAGGTGGGGGAGGGGAGAATCTAGAACAGCATTATGAGGGAAAAGCAGCAAGTGCAACATGCAATGCAAACCAGCGGACCGAGCTCCACCAGCTCTAACCCAGCTTCCATCCAGCGCTTTTGGGTTGTCACTGGCGGAGGTTGGCGGTTGCTTGACACGCAGTTTGAAAAAATTCCAGCTTGGCCGACGAAATGCTCACGCGGCTTCTTCAACGGCTACCGCGGGAATTGCCGATATGGAGATCTCCGATATTGCCGAAATTTGACCTTGATGGCCATTCCTACTTCATATATAAGTGGTTGCACAGCATGCATCAGGATTGTGGAGCCCAAATTGTTTAACCTTCTTGGCTAAGCACGATTTGTCCTCCGGCCTACGTCTAGTGCAAGCTCTGTGTCAATGTTGAGCGAGATATCTAGAGCTTTTACAGAATGGGTCAAAGCACCACTGCATGCACAACACAGAAGCACAAGGTTGGCATTAGAAAATGCACACAAAAAAAGAAAAGAAAATACCATCGACAAACATGCAGACAAGAAACCCATAGAACTAACCTTGAAATGAAATCAACACCGGTTGCAGCAATAGCACCGACAGTCTCTAAAGTCACGTTGCCCGACGCCTGCAAAAGAAACAACAGACAAGCAGCAAGCATGAACTTCCACACCACCTAAATCTCCACAAACATGCACCCATATCTTTCCGCCCATTTTCCCCCATCCTCCAGTCATCCTACCTCCGTTTCCAGCTGTCCTTTCACCAGATCCACTGCCTGCTGCAGCATGGTTACATCCACATGCACTGCGCCCCCGCCATCCCCTCCCCCTCGTCGCGGCACCACCATATTGTCCAGCATCACCCTCGTCACCCGCCCCACTCCCTCGCCACGGCACCTCAGCACCTCCTGGAGCTCATCCAGGGTGCGGGCCTCCACCTGGGGTGGTAAGTGCAGGCAGGAGAGAGGGAGAGAGGGACTAACAAGAGGTTATCACCCGCCCCACTCCCTCCCCACGGCACCGCAGCACCTCCTGCAGCTCATCCAGAGTGCGGGCCTCCACCTGCAGTGGCGGGTGGGTGTGGAGGTGAAGGGGAGGGAGGGAGGGCATAAAACTGGCTGCAAAGCCAGGATGCTTCCCAGCATGGCTTGAGTGACCCAGCCCACCATGCACCCCAGCAGCATCCCTCCGTCCCCACCCAGCAATTCGGGCCAGTAATTGGCTGGATGGTTGAATGGCTGGATGGAGTCAGATCCACCACCACCGCCACCGCCACCACCGCCAGCGCCACCGCCATTGTCACCGCCATTGCCACCTACTCACTCTCCCCACTCACACCGCCACGTACTAACTCCCCCTGGCTGCCCTCACTCACCTCCACGGGGAGATCCAGGCCGTTGGATCGAATGTACTCTCTGGCAGCGTTGATGGCAGTGGGCACACTGGCAGGCGCACCACCATCTACGCACTCTCCCCCCCTTCAAGCCGCCACCTGCTCTCACTCCCCGCCCGTCACTCACCATTTGAGTCGACTCAAAAGCTCACTGGCAGGCGCACCACCATCTACGCTCTCCCCCCCCTCAAGCCGCCACCTGCTCTCGTTCCCCCCTGCACTCACCTCCACCGGGAGATCCAGGCCGTTGGATCGAATGTACTCTCTGGCAGAGCTGATGGCGGCGGGCACACCGCCAGCAGCAGCGATGTGGTTGTCCTTGACCAGCAGCATGTCGTACAGCCCCACTCGGTGGTTCTGCCCGCCTCCTATCAGCACCTGGGACACAGACAGAGGGCGGTAGGGTAGGGACGACTTCTGAGCCACTTCACAAAACAAGTGGTGGGCTGTACTGGACAGCCCCACCCCGTGGTTGCGCCGCCGGCCTACTGGCATCTGGGGACAGACAGAGCAGGGTAATGTAGGGACGCGTGTTGAGTTGGTTCACAGACCAGCAGCATGTCATACAGCCCCACGCGGTGGCTCCGCCTCCCGCCTATCAGCACTTGTGAGAGGCATGAAAGTAACTCCGCATTTGCTCTCTCTTGGCGCTCTTGGCGTATGGGAGATAAATTTCCGGTGGCTCAAATCCTGCTTTCCCATGCCACTCTTCAAACCACTCAACTTCCGCCACACGATTTTCAGGGCCAACCCCCGGCCACTACACTTCTCCTAGTCAAGCCACTCCATACCCTTCTTATTCCAGGCGTTTCTTGACAATGCCCAAAACGCCTCCTTGTCAAGCCATTCCGTCCCCCTCCCTCCAACACACTCTTGTAGCCGGCTCTCGTCGACAGGTTGACAGATAGAGAGATTCACAGCTTTGCAAGTGTGCTACGAGACAACACTCACCGCCCACTTGTCTGTGATTCTGAGTCCCGGGGCGGTCTTGCGTGTCTCTAGCACGGTGGCAGGGCGGGCTGCCTCTACCATGGCCTGGCATGCGGGGCGAAAGCGGGAGCGGGTAGATGGAACAGGGAAGGGCAGGGAGAGAGGGGGGGAAATGCGGGAAGCGAAGTTGCTGTGGCAGGGCGGGCTGCCTCCACCATGGGCTGGCATGTGGGGGGAAGGAGGAGAAGAGGAGGGGAAGAGAGCAGGGGGAAGGGCGGGGAGAGGAGGGTAGGAAATCTGGGGGAGAGGTGGAGGAGAGGGAAAAGGGAGGGACAGGAAGTTGCTATGTGCACCATGTTACCTGGAGTCACTCTCTCCGCCCATCCAATAAACCCACTCACTACCCACCAGCTCACTTCTCACCCACTCACCACCCACCCACTCAGCCGCTTAACTGTTTTCTAACCCAGGCCTCCCTGTGCTGAATCGTCCTTCCCTCTGCTGACTCAGCCATCAGCAGACCTGTCCCAGCCTCTAACAGTGCTGACTCACCCTAGTGGACGTGGCAATGCTGACTCACCCTGGTGGACGTGGCAATGCTGACTCACCCTGGTGGACGTGGCAATGCTGACTCACCCTGGTGGACGTGGCAATGCTGACTCACCCTGGTGGACGTGGCAATGCTGACTCACCCTGGTGGACGTGGCAATGCTGACTCACCCTGGTGGACGTGGCAATGCTGACTCACCCTGGTGGACGTGGCAATGCTGACTCACCCTAGTGGACGTGGCAATGCTGACTCACCCTAGTGGACGTGGCAATGCTGACTCACCCTAGTGGACGTGGCAATGCTGACTCACCCTAGTGGACGTGGCAATGCTGACTCACCCTGGTGGACGTGGCAATGCCGCTCATGCGCTGCATGAAGTTGAGTGCCACGCGCTCGCCCTGCAGGATGGCATGTGCCGACCCTGCACGTGGTGGGGTAACGCGAGGGGTGGGGGGAGAGGATGGCTTTCCATCTTCACCTCGCCCTTCTTCACCGTGTCTCCATCTTCCCATCTCGTGCCATACCTCCCTGCTTCCAACATGCACTGAGCAGCCCACATTGCAATATGAGCCCCTCCCCCCCAGCAGCCCAGCAGCCCAGCAGCCCAGCAGCCCAGCAGCCCAGCAGCCCAGCAGCCCAGCAGCCCAGCAGCCCAGCAGCCCAGCAGCCCAGCAGCCCAGCAGCCCAGCAGCCCAGCAGCCCGGCAGCCCAGCAGCCCAGCAGCCCAGCAGCCCAGCAGCCCGGCAGCCCAGCAGCCCAGCAGCCCAGCAGCCCAGCAGCCCGGCAGCCCAGCAGCCCGGCAGCCCACCTGCCAGCACCCTACCAGTTGAGCGAGCTCACCTTGCACCGTGGCAAACACCTCTCCCTTCTCCACCGTGTCCCCATCTTCCTTGCTCCACTCCACCTGCTCACATGCGACATGCCGCGTGCAGCAGACGATCAACATGCATGTGACATCCATAGCACACATGCAATACCATTCCGATGCGCCTATTCAGTGACGATACGCATTGCAGTAACTACAGACAGAGTTGTCAGTAGGCAAAGTGATCCAAATCCGCATGCAATAAAAAAATAAACGCACAGTACACACTTCGATCCACTATGCAATTCAGCACTTGACAACGGCCGTGGCGAGCGCAGTGCCAGCCAACACGCCCCTTGCACATCATCCCCTTCACCTCTCACCCCACCCTCCCCTTGGCCTCGCTCACCTGAATGCTCGGCTCCAGCAGTCGGAACACAGCAGTGGCGAGTGCAGTGCCAGCCAGCACGCCCCCCTCCTTTGCCAGGCACCCATTCAAACCCACCCCTTCACCTCACCCACCCCTTCACTTGGCCTCTCGGACCTGTACGCTTGAAAAACACTTCCCAGCAGTCGAAAAACAGCCGTAGTAGCGAGTGCAGTACAAGCCAGCACGCCGCCCCGATTCGCCAGGAACCGACCCACCTTTAAATGCTGCGTCCCCCCCCCACCTCAACCCCTTGCCCTCTCCCACCTGAATGCTGGGCTCAAGCAGTCGGAACACGGCGGTGGCGAGGGCAGTGCCCGCCAGGACGCCCCCCTCCTTCGCCAGGAACTGAGCGCTCGCCTGCGTGCCCGCTGGGATGGTCGCCAGACTCGTGACGTCCCCTGGAGAGGGCGGGAGAGGGGGGAGGGGACGAGACAGGAAGGAAGGGTAAGTTGTGTGCCCGCCAACACGCCCTCCTCTTTCGCGCTCGCCTGCGTGCCCGCTGGGATGGTCGCCAGGCTTGTTGTGACGTCCCCTGGTGGGATGAGAGGGGTGGGAGAGAGATGGGAGGAGAAGAGACAGCGGGGGGACGAGACGGGAGAGGGGTGGGGAGCGAGGGTATGCTTGTGATGTGACGTTCCCTGGAGGCGATGAGGGGAGTGCGGGGGAAGGGAGGAGGGGGAGACGAGACAGGAAGGGTGGGAAGGAAGGGTATACTTCTGTGCCTGAAATCAGTCAGTGGCGATGCAGAAATCGGTTGCCACATACCAATATCACACATCCTTTCACCTTGAAAGAGTGCCTGAACTGCACTCGCAGGGCAGAAATGATTGTGAGGTGAGGATATCTCACTCGAGCTCTCGTTTGCGCAATTCTGGCCCCCAACCCGCACGCCCTCCTGTACCCCACTCCCTCCTGTCACTCGCGCACTCGTCCTTACTACTGCGCACTCCTCTCCCCCACGCACCAAGAACACCGGCGCCATCGTCCAGAGCAGCTTTACCACCCTCATGACGTCACACGTGTGTAAGAAATCACATGAAGTAACACATGAGTGAACGATTGCCTGCGCTCGCAGGAAGGATTTTTTTTTTAGGAGGACATTTCACTCACCCACTCGACCCTAATACGCCCATCTGTCAACCACGCACCGAGATTGCCTGCGTCTTCGTCCAGAGCGGCTTTCACGGCCATCATCACGTCACACGTGGGATGCGGGGGAGGCGGGATGCGCATAGTCACTCCCTCCATAGTCACAGATCCGTTGACCGGCGCGGCTGCAGCAGATGCCGAGGCAGAAGCAGCAGCAGGAGGCGCGGCTCGAGAGAAGGTAACAGGAAGGTGCATCCGCCTGCACATTCAGAATCAGCGTATCAAAGGGAAGAGATACTTTTGCGACGCCTCAAAAGGCAACAGAAGCGGCGTGTTTTGAGAGAGGAAGCAGCGGGTAGGGTAGATCGTGGCAAGGGAAAAGGAAAGTGGGTTTGCTTGCCGGCGGCGGCCGAGACCCGGCTGGATTCTCCCACATGAAGACACAAGATCCCATTTTCAGTCGTCAACAGATAGGAACGTATCACGAGAAAGATGCGCGAAAATAGAAGCAGGCACGATTGAAAGAGCCAGGCACGAGGGCCGAGAGAGTCACGACCCGCGAACTAAATAGCCATAAATGCACGAGGCACGAGGGAAAGTGGCAGATATGTCGAGAGACGCGCGACTAGACACGATCGCCAAGACCTAGAAAGTGCACCCGCGATCCTCTATAGCTCCGCTAATCTCGCGCGCACGCGCACAGTCACTAAGAAGCATCTCTTCTTCCTACGACTATGTTTAGGCGCCTCGAGAAGAGATCCTCGCTAACTTAGAGGATGTCGCGCATTCGCACGGTCACTACGAAGCCCAGAATGGCTGGCAGTGGTGCCGTGTCATGCGGCGGCTGCCTGCATGCACGTACGAGCAAGACATTTCTACAAAATTATTCTAACCTGTAAAGCCGAGCGTGCGCTGTTCCGCCTGTCAGCGACAACGACGACGGATCGCGGTTAGCGGAAAGCGACCGGCGATCGCGCTGGCTACGCCCTTGCAGCAAGCTGGCGGCGATTGAGCCGCCTGAGAGAGCCTCGTAAGGGCTGCCATTTCTAGAGAAGTTGTGCAGCAAACTGCACGTAGTTCGCGGTGCGAGAGACTCCACTATTTCAGTATTTTACTATTTCCGTCGTGCGATAAGCAACCTCGAAAACCACGTATACTAACGAAATTGCTGTACTTGCCAAAGGCTTTATGGAAGAGCTCATTTTATTATTCCTATCCATCAGCTTCAACAACTATTTTTCACACCCATACGAGTGTTTCTTTTGCATCAGTACATCTACACTACAATCACACAGAACACAAGTATTAAAACTTGACTTCCACCATCCCTTGCCATGGAACGAGCTCTTCTTGCCCAGCCCCTTCTTAGTGAACGATACAGAAAAGAAAAGCACATCCACATAACATTTCGCACACGCCATTTCAGTTGCAGCACTGTACTAAACACTACTTCACTCAGACACGCCGAGCCACTTGGTGAAGTTTTCGAATTCGAGGTAGTCCGAGTCTGAAATCATGGTCTGGTACCACGCCTCTCCCGCCTTCTTGGCCTCCTCCGTCTGCTCACACACACACATTCCCACGCCAGAATACGCACCAGAAAAACGTTCCAGGGAAGGGACAGAAGGGAACGAAGGTTTGTGGAAGTGAATGATAGGAACAGACCTGTGACCCAACACAAAGCAAATTGACCTCAAACTAAACTCAACTTGCTCCCAGTCAACCAAGACAACCCAGTCAACCCACTCAGCTCAGTCAGCCCAAGTCAACCAAGTCGACCCAGCCAACCACTCACCTCGCGAGCCGTTTTGGCGACAGCAAGCTGCTTGAACTTGTCCCAGTCAACCCAAGTCAACCCAGTCAACCCAAGTCAACCCAGTCAACCCAAGTCAACCCAGTCAACCCAAGTAAACTCAAGCCAACCACGCACCTCGCGGGCCTTCTTGGCCTTGGGCTGGCCAGCAGCCTCGGCGAGCTGCTTGCGCTTGTCGGCGGCGAAGGGGTTGAGCACGGCCATGGCGGTGCGGTTCTTCAGCGGGTTGCGCTTCAGACGGTGCAGCGGCTTCGGCGCCGCCCTCTTCGGCCGGCACACACTCTGCAAGGTGGATGGGGGGTGGGGGGGAGGGGGGGGGGGGGGGGGGGGGGGGGGGGAGGGGGAGGGCAGGGGAAAGGGAGACGGGCCGGACAGCACATCAGGAAAGGCAGGGGCAGCCTCGGTCCTTGGCTAGCAGACTCATCGTTGTGGAGTGGAGTCAGGGGTACGGGGAGCAAGGGAGGTGGAGAGCAGGCAGGGAGCAGCAGGAGGGGTTGAGCACGGCCATGGCGGTGCGGTTCTTCAGCGGGTTGCGCTTCAGACGGTGCAGCGGCTTGGGCGCCGCCCTCTTGGGCCGGCACACACTCTGGAGGGGGGGAGAGAGATGGAGGAGGTAGGGGGGAGACAGAGGGGTTAGAAAGGGTGAAGTGGTGGTAAGTGGATGGGTTGCGCTTCAGGCGGTGCAGCGGCTTTGGCGCGCCGCCTTCTTCGGCCGGCACACACTCTGAAGGGAAGCGGAAAGGTGGGAGGGGGAGGGAGGAGGGGGGGGGGAAGGGCACTGGGATAAGGCAGTTGTGGTCACTGTTTTTGCGAACAGAGGCGCGGGTGTGGAGTGGGGGGAGGAGGGTGGAAGTGGGTGGAGGGCAGGGGGGCAGCAGGAGGGATTAGAAACGGCGAGGCAGAAGCAAATGGAATGCGGTTGAGATGGTGCCGAGATGGGCGAGCGAAGTTGGCGTGGGAAGAAGGACCGGAAGCGGCACAGGAGCAGAGTGACGCCCGGGGAGGGTGGGACGCGGGCGGAGTGGGGCGCGGGGCGAGTGAGGCGCGGGGAGAGGGAAGCATGAGCGGGGGGAGGCGGAGGGAGGGGTCTGTGCAAATAATCTTAAAGGCACGTCAGACTTCATTGGCTGAGGGAACAAGAAAAAATCAGCCTTTTCCAGACAAAGACTGTTCCCCCTTCTTCCCTCGCACTCCGCCCACGTGCACTTCATCGCTGTTGATGATGTACGTGATGTCGGCATTGACAATGGCGCCTGCAGCCCTAAACGACCCGAACAACCCCTCCCCCCCACGCGCCTAACCATAACCCCGTCTGGCCCGCCTCGCCCCTACCCTTCCCCCCCCTTTTCCCTTCCCTCCGCCCACCTGCACTTCGTCGCTGTTAACAATGGCGCCAACGACCCCAACAGCCCTGCCCCCGCTCGTCACTACTCACCCCTCCGCTCTACCCCCCTACGCCCCCCTCCCCTTCCTCCTCCCCCCCACCCCCCTTCCTCCTCCCCCCCACCCCCCTTCCTCCTCCCCCCCACCCCCCTTCCTCCTCCCCCCCACCCCCCTTCCTCCTCCCCCCCACCCCCCTTCCTCCTCCCCCCCACCCCCCTTCCTCCCCCCCCGCCTCCTTCCCCTGCCTCTCTGCCCACCTGCACTTCGTCGCTGTTGATGATGCGCGTGATGTCGGAGTTGACAATGGCGGCGCGCGGCAGCAGGAAGTCGCGCTTCATGGTGGGCGCCTGCGAGAACGACCCGAAGAGCCCCTCCAGCTTGTCGAACGCGCTCTGCGTCCAGATCACGAAGCGCCCCACGCGGCCGCCGGGCGCCAGGTCGAGCACGCTCAGCTTCTCGACTGCGACCACCTGCAGAGCGGAGAGCGGGATGGGGGAGCGGAGGGCGGGATGGGGGAGCGGAGGGCGGGATGGGGGAACGGAGTGAAAAAAGGAGGGAGGAGGAGGGGAAAAGGGGGAGTGGGGGAAGGAGGCGAGATGAGGACGAGACGAGGGAAGGGCAAGAGATATAAGACAATTGCACATCGCCCTTGCTGCGCGCACCTACTGACCCTCTCACCCGCACATCAGCTCTTCCGCGCACCTGCACGCCGGGGATGTTGCGGAAGGCCTTGGTGAGCTTGGCGCCGTCGGTGCCGTACACGATGAGCGGGCCCTTCTTGCTCAGGTACCGCCGGTTGCGCATCTTGCCCTTGCCGGGCCGGATCTTCTTCGTCGCGATCACCTTCGCCACGTCATCGTACGCGCCGATGCGCTTCAGCGCCTTCAGCGCGGAGGAAGTCTTGTCGACCGACTCGATCTCGTTGCCCACCACCAGCGGCAGCTCCGGCGCCTGATGCGCGCGGGGACAAAGGGGGGAGGAGGGGGAGCGGGAGAAGGGGGGCGGGGGGAGGGGGGAAGAGGGGCGTGGGGGGGGGGAGAAAGGGAGGGAGAGGGGTGGGTTGGAGGGGGGACAGGGGGTAGAGGGGAAATGAGGGAAACGTACGAATAAAGGGGGCAGGGGGTGGAGAGAGGACAGGGGGATAGGGGGGGGAAGGGGACAGAGGGGGAGGGAGGATGGAGGGACAGGTATGAAAAGGCGGGCGACGGGGATACAGGGACAGGGAATGACGAGGGGGTGGAGTGTGCGGGGGGGGAGGGAGAGAAGCGACGGGGGAAAAGCGGGGAGTATGGTGGAAAGAGGGACAGGGCGAGATGAAAGGGAGGGGAAGGGGAAGAGCGAAGAAGCATGGGGAAGCAAACGGGTCGGCAAAATGGGCCGTATTGGGTGATACGCCATCTACGTCACCGCGTACCTTGCTGACGGCGTGGCCGTGCGCCTGCACGAGCGCGGGCACGGCGGAGGCGGCAATGGCGGAGGCGACCGCATGGCGGCGCATCTTGATGGGGACCTGCGCGGGCACGGGGGAAGGGGGGAATGGGGGTACCAGGGAAGGGGACACGGGGTTGCAAATGTTAGAGCCGTGTCGACGTTAAGATGAACACATGAAGAAACGAATGTTGACATAGGTTTTGATTCGATTGAGAAACTACTCGACGGAAAACGCGCGACTTGCTAGGGCCGACAAATTCTTCTGCCGGCCTGACGGGAAATGCTAGCAGGGCATGAACACGCTGGTCGACAGCTTACGCTAGCGTGCTGATAATCGATACCAGTGCAACCAACGAGTTGGTCGCATGAGCATCCAACATCCAACCGCACGCAGACTACATGGGATAGTGAAGATTAGGTCATGGTTTAGGTCGGGCTAGATGATAGCTCGGATCGGCGTATGACGACTCTCGCCTTGCACGTGACGCGCATTCCGCGCATCCAGAAAGGAGGACGTAACCCGCATGGGCGGGCGGAATCTAGCCACGTGGCAACCACGGGGCAAAATCTACCGTCCCATGCTTGATTCCAACCGTTCAGGACGAAGCTAAGACCGAGAGGCCTCGACGGTAGCACTCCCTGAAAGCCCTCAGTCTGAGCATATCTAAAGGTGCTACAGGATTTCAGCATCGCTTGTACCGCGTCAACAGACATGCTTCGTGCGTTTGATGTAACGACGTCCTGCGACTCTCGTTGGACTCCGACCAACCTAAAACTAGCCCAGATTCCAGATACTTGTAGCTCGAGAAACCTAGCGCGGTCGGACGCCCAAAATCGCTAAGTAGGAGTAACGGTCCTAGAAATGAGGAATTCCCCTGCTTCACTAACTCGTGCGAGCCTAACGTAGACAGCACTGAACAAAAGGTTTCCCTGTGATATCGGTACATCTGCTATAGCGGGAAAGGGTCAGAATGTCCACCTTGCGGTGCCAGCGGCGCCAGATGCGGAGCGGCGCGAACAGGTGACCGCCGCGGCACATGTTACCGAAGGCTCCTTGTCCCGCGCGGTGGGTACCGCCGCCGGGAACGCGGGGAATACGCGACACGGCGCGACCGGTACCCCAGGACTCGGCGGACGTCTGGTGACCGGCCTTGGTGCTGACGGCGTACGGCTGGCGCTTGTTCATCGAAACCATCGCGTGCACGAACTTAACGACATCGCTGCGGATCGGCGCGAGGAACACCGCGGGAAGCGCCGCCTGCTGCGGCGCGCCGGCCTCGTCGTACGGCTGAACTGTCACGAGCGGACGAGCCGCTGCTGTCGCCATCGCTGCTGCTGGGTATTCTAGTGCGGGTGGCTGGGTGCGCGATTGTGACGTTGCTGCTAAGTGCTACCCTACTCGGTCCCACTCCGCGAGAGAAGGGAAGGAAAGAGAGACTCAAAGCAGCGAGGAGCAGATTTGAGTTAGGGTTGAGTTGAGGGCGAGAAGGGGGAACGGGGAAGGGAAGGGGGAAGGAGTGAGAGAAGGAAGGGGGAAAGAGGAGGGGGGAGAGGGAATCGGGGAAAACGTGGCGGATGGCGGAAGAAAGCGTGGGGGGGAATTCGCGGACATGGAAACGACAGGAGTGTGTAAGAGAGGGAGGAGGGGAAGGAGTCGGGGACTGGTGACAGGGGGGAAAGTCAAGGCGGCGGGGAAAGGTAAATTCTGGTTATTGCTCCTCATGCCTTTTCGCCTCGAAGGCCACGGTGGTTAGCCACCAGAAAAGTGCTGTGTTCGCTTACTCGATACAAGCCCACGTGCCTTGTCATTGCCCAAGTGTAAGGAACTTCTCAATTTCCTTACATCGCACTTGGCTTCACCACATACAACACTGTTCACGAGCTCGAAGTCCGAACCCTCCGCTACCTAGGACGCACCAGGCCTCAAACCGTAGTCTATGTACTGGACTTGGACATCCCTGACTGCAGCGGCGACACATATCATCTACTCGATCTAATGTTACAGATGCGAAAGACCCACTTGGCTGTTCGGATACGTTTGTCATGAGCTTCGGAGCGAGGAACAAACTTTTGCGTGCCCCGTCGATGCAAGGATCCGGCTTCGGCATTCCGGCTTGCAATTCTTGCGGTCGGACCCTTGCAGAGTTTGTTAAACAGTTGTTAGTTAAAGGGGAGTTGGAAGTTGGCAAAATGCGACAGCGAGTCCAATTATGCAGGTCATGTTTCCGTAGATATGATTTTCGAAAGCCTTTTGACATCACGTGCGCTGGTAATTTTGATGACGTCGTCATCGCCGCCGTCGTCGTTGCCATCGTTGTGGCGAACGGTGTTGCGACAGATGTCGCGGTCAGACACTTCTTTCATGGGTATGTGGTTTTCTTTGCTCGCATAATCGTAGGCCACGCGTGTAGTGTCATCAGGATTAGGTTGGGAAACCGGGAAGAATGTCGAAGTTCGTAGCGCGCATGTAAGGGGAATGCTTGGATAATGTTAGTTGGGTTTGCAGTAGGGCGCGTCATCGGACACGTCGGCCTCGTCGAGTGAGGTGGCAAAGCCATGCTGGCCCATGAAGATGGCTTCAGGTTCTTTCTAAGCATTGTGGTGCTGTCGTAAAAGATGCAGTTGCGTGACTTTGTCAGCTCGTGCGTCGCTAATCCACGATAGCCCAATCATTGAACCCCTTCGAAATTCAAGGTAAATTTCTTAGCGTCCACGGTCCTCAAAATTTCGGGTTCGAGCAGTGTGGGGCCGGTACTATACCATGCAGCCGGCGAGTGTAACCAGTTATGCCCCTCCATGCCTTGTAGGGAGAGGTGTTTCTTAGAAGACTTTGGGATGACAACATGTTGTGTAGTCACACAAGATGGTTCATTGCGTACGGCCAATATATTGTTGGCACCTCAAACTGCTTCATGAGGGCGCACGTCTTTCTTGCGAGCTTCTGTTCGCCTTCTTGGGCCAGTGGGGTGACGGAGCTAGCAGGGCGACAGTGCTAGCGGTGCGACGGGCTAGCGGGGCGACTGGGCTAGCGGGGCGACGGGGCTAACGAGACGACGGGGCGAGCAGGGCCAGCGGGGCCAGCGGGGCGACGAGCTAGCGGGGCGTCGGGGCCAGCAGAGGTCTACGGGGCCTATGGGGCGCGACTAGAGAGCCGCGGGCGTTAGGTGCCAAGGGGCTGACGGGGCGCTAGAGAGGGCCACGGGATGCTAGGGGTGGTCAACGGGGCGCTAAGTGGTCGCATGGAGCTAGGTGACACGAGGTAGGTAGGAAGGCCGAAGCGTTGACCTAACCTAACGATGATACCATCGTTAAGGATTAGGATGGTTAAGCAAATCGACATGTCCTTGGTTGTGAGTTGTACAAATGTAAATAGAGATGAAGAATTCAGCTTGCTGTCGGGGCTGGCCACCCGAATCGGCATTCCTAGTCGCATTTCTAAATGGTAAAATACACTAGTGGTACATGCAAAAATAGATTCATAGGAATGAGAGAGTTGCGCGTGTAGTTGCCCTTATAAACTTTCCCTTAAAGCCCTGTACCTGATTTACTCAACGGAAGTCAACGCCAAATTTTCGTGGTTTGGAAGGCAGGCACTCGGAGGTTCAGTTGGGTTGCGAAACCCTTCCCACTCGCGAAACCAGATTGTGACAAAATTGTGCTTGCTTCAAAGAAACCGAATGATCGGTGGGTTGCTTCCCGCGATGAGATTTGGTGCCGAAATGCAGGTTTTAAGGAGCTGTTGCGTAAAATCGTATCCCCACCCCCTCAACCAGGCGTGACCCTCCCTCCGCCCTCACTTTCCTTTCCCATGTCACGCGCTTTCCCTTTCCGTCGCCCGCGTCGTCGCCTTTGCTTCCTCAGCCCATCGCCTTCGCTTCCCCAGCCCGTCGCCTTCGCTCCGCACGTCGCCTTCGTATCCCCCGCCCGTCGCTTTCACTTCCTTCGCGTATCGCATTTGCTTCCCCGTCCCGTCCCTTTTGCTTCTTCCGCGCGTCGTCTTCGCTTCCCCCACCTGTCGCTTTCGCTTGCTCCGCCCGTCGCCTTCGCTTCCCCAGCCCGTCGCCATCGCTTCTTTCTCCCGTCGCCCTCGCTTCCCCCGCCCGTAGCCCTTGCTTCCTCTCCTGTTGCCCTCGCTTCCCCAGCCTGTCGCCTTCGCTTCCCCCTCCCGTCGCCCTCACTTCCCCCGCCCGTAGCCCTCGCTTCCCCTCCCGTCGCCCTCGCTTCCCCTCCTGTTGACCTCGCTTCCCCTCCCGTCGCCCTCGCTTCCTCCGCCCGTCGCCGGAGAAAGGGGGAAAGCAATGAAGACGGCCGGCGATGGGGAAAGGGGGATGCGAGGGCGACAGGGAGGGAAAGCGACGTCTTTGCGCCTTCCTACCACGAGGGGAAGCGAGTGCGATTATGAAACGGTGGTGACGTTGGGTGTAAGCGTGGTGTCAAACTTATATGCTGGTTATTGTGTAGGCTGTAGTGGGGTAGCCCATATGGGGTACAACCCAATTAGGGTTTCCTACTTGTACCCATCTTGCTGCTAGTTCATTCATTCCTCGTTCGTTCTTCTGACATGGTTTCAGAGCAGGTCCTAGCCTAGGACCGAATATTTTTTTTAGGGCCCACCGAACCGCGCTACCCCACGAGTCGCGCTTGTTAGTTCCGCGCCGCCCTGCCCTGCCCTGCCCTGCGTTGCGCTGCCGCGCACGCCCTGCCCTGCCCGCGCGCAGCTCGCCGCCGCGCGCACTGCCCTGCCCGCGCGCTGCCCTCTGCCGCGCCGCGCGCCCTGCCTGCGCGCTGCTCGCCGCCGCGCCGCGCGCCCTGCCTACGCGCCACTCGCCGCCGCGCCGCTCGCCCTGCCTGCGCGCCCTGCCTGCGCGCCGCCGCGCCGCTTCCCCTGCCCGCGCGCCGCCGCCGCGCGCCCTGCCCTGCCCGCGCGCCGGCGCTGCGCGCCCTGCCCTGCCCACGCGCCGCCCGCCGCCGGCCCTGCCCTGCCATCGCGCCGCCAGCAGCCGCGCGCCCTGCCCTGCCCTTGCGCCGCTAGCAGCCGCGCTGCCCTTCCTGTGCGCCGCCCTGCTGGCCGCTGCCCTG